GCCCCCCATTCCTCCCCTCCACCAGTGGAGTAGAACACAGCATCACACAATTTCCATTGTAACTTGAGTTTCCTTCAATGGTCAGGGTCAGTATCACTTGCTCTATTTAAAAAGATACGCATTTAAACTTTTGTTTACTGAAGCTCAATTGGAGTGCGATATTCTGCATGATTTCTTGCAGTTTAATACAATCAACAAAAAGGATCAAACCTGTCAAATCCCCCCCGCCCCCCATTCCTCCCCTCCACCAGTGGAGTAGAACACAGCATCACACAATTTCCATTGTAACTTGAGTTTCCTTCAATGGTCAGGGTCAGTATCACTTGCTCTATTTAAAAAGATACGCATTTAAACTTTTGTTTACTGAAGCTCAATTGGAGTGCGATATTCTGCATGATTTCTTGCAGTTTAATACAATCAACAAAAAGGATCAAACCTGTCAAATCAATTTACCGAGGGACGAAAATATCAGAAATCTTCACAAACCTAATGTGGCCAGAGTTGTTAACTTGTGGCAAAAAGAGTCCCCAATATCGCCGACGTCAGGCTGAAGCCTCCCAACTCACAATTTGGTAAATGTAATATTTTTACCATTGGTCAGTATGCACTTGAGGGGGTTATTAATTAATTAATTGTCACTATGATTTAATTAAACAAATTATTGGCCATTGTAAAGTGTTGAAAATGGCTTGCTCTCTTTGATTATGTAAACGTGCCGTTTCAGGGGTCTCCGTAAAAGTGACTATTGGCGGCACAAGGTTTCGGCCTGAGTTGTATACCAGCCTGCATGCCCTCATACGTGAACCAACTAACATCCGAGTATAAACTCCTTTGACAGGAATATAGAGGCATGCTTTCATGACATCCTGTAGCTTTGCAGCTAGCCATTGAGCATGAATGACTTTTGATATGTGCTCATGTTTTGAGTTCATCCAGTGTTTGCACTAACGGTTTGTGCATATACAAGTCTAAAGGAAGCGTTGTTGGGAGTGCAAGTGCCTGGTTTCTCTGCCCTCTGGGTGAGGGAATAATGTACTCATTTTTGAAAAATGCTCTCTTTGTTCAGGGGATTTTTGGGGCTGATGCAACCGATACCTACACACAAGTTGCATTTTTATGGTCCTAAAGGTGGCATCTACCAAAAAAAGCTGCACGTTATGTATCGAAAGGCACGTGTTGTTATAATAATAATCATGATTGATTATTCTGATTCTATGGGGCTGCACCCCAGCGTTTGTTATAGCAAGTACAGTGGATGCATCATATCATAAAGGGCATTCTTTTCATGGCAAAAGATTATCAGCGACATATGTTCCAGGCTTGTGTGCATTTCAGGCTAATTAGAGGACCCCTGGTTTGGCGGACTGGGACTTGCCTCATCAGCCCCCTTCCTCATCCCCCTGCTCTTCCATTCAGCTCGTCTTCATGTACTATAATAGGCCGGCCCATGCTAATCCACGGTGTGTGCCTGCACCGTTTCGTAAAAAAAGAGATTATAAGGAAAAAATGAGCCACGTGTAGCCTTTAAATCCCTTGTCACAGGTGGCGCCCACCCGCTGGTAGAGTTAACTCCACTTTAAAAGGCGGCATTAATATGTATACTGTACATCCACCCCTCATCCCCAACAATTCGACTCAAATGACTCCCCAAATAGTAGTTGTCTCACAGGGTGTTAAGCATTCACTAGAAAAGAAAAATGGCTAATTTGATGCCATTCCCTCACAATGTGATCCTCCTTTTCACACCCCTTAATTCAAGTTTTGATTCCCCACCGCTTGGCTCTGCTAAATAGTTTCTTCCGCTTCATAAAGCCACTATGTTTTATAGAAAGTACGTGCGTGACAAAGAATAATCACTTAGTGAAGCCAATCAACTTTTATTAACATGTTTTATATGTCTTGGAATGAACCCCTGCACTCTTGGTAACACTAACAATGTTTGCTGTATCACGACTTTTGTTGTCTTATCAAATGGATGTTAAAGATGAGGGTGCAATGAGTTTTTTTTTCTGTTTCAGTCTGAGTAAAACCAAAAAGAGGATCATCTACACAATTATAGAGTACAGCCCTTTGTTGGATTCGGCCAATATGACCCCAGACGACTGGGGCAGAATAGGAAAGGACATAGAGGTACTTGAAAATACTTGAGAATCACCACTGATTTCATTATTTTTAAAACGAGGCGATTTTATTGTTGTGTATTATTTTGCCCTATTTTTATCGGTAGTTGTTTTGACCTTATTTTAAATTGAAAGTGTGTTTTTTTTTTTTTTTTTTCCCCAGAAAAACTATGAATCTTATGATGGCTTCGTGATCCTTCATGGCACAGACACCATGGCCTATACGGCCTCTGCACTTTCTTTCATGTGTGAACATCTGGGCAAACCCGTCGTCCTCACCGGCTCACAAGTAAAACACACACACACACACACACACACACACACACACACACACACACACACACACACGCACACACACGCCAAAAACATACAAAAGTCCAAATACCTGTCTCACTTACTCTTTGACCTCAGGTGCCTATCTATGAGATGAGGAACGATGGCAGAGACAACCTGTTGGGGGCACTGTTGATCGCCGGCCAGTTTGTCATCCCTGAGGTGAGCCATGGGTGGTGATTGCAGAGTAAGATTTAGACCAGATGAACAAATAATCCCGTAACCTCACTTATCATGACTACATGAACTACTTTGTTACTATATTGAGATTGTGCAGTAGGTGTGAGCTATGCTGGCATGCAGAGCACTGCTTGTCTGATGAGACTGCCTCTTTATGCAGCTGCGTTGTGTTTCGCAACACTCAAGAACAATTACCAGGAAGAGGATGAACACTAAAGTGTTATCTTGAAGTGCCCGGTTCAGGTGCAACAAATTCCACCCTTTGTCCACAACCGATAACATTGACAAAACAAGACTATTGTGTGACTGTGTCATATTCCCTCCATCTTAAGTGACCATTTGTTGAAACATGTTTGCTTGTTTACTAATGCTAATGCAGTGCATTGATTAAGATCCATCACCTGTCTCCCCCCAGGTGTGCCTGTACTTCTACAACAAGCTTTATAGAGGAAATCGTGTGACCAAAGTGGATGCTGGGAGTTTTAATGCATTCACATCCCCTAATTTGGCTCCACTAGCCACCGCAGAGGTTGATATTGCAAGTAAGTTAGCCGGCACAATGGACCAGCCTCATGCGTGAACAAAATGTTGTCTGAGTATATTTATCTGTCCTGTCGTCCTTTCTCGCAGTAAACTGGGACACGGTGTGGAGGGCAAACACCACAGTAAAGTTTCAAGTCTCCACTGAGCTCAACAGGAATGTCGGCCTGCTGAGGCTCTTCCCAGGAATAACTGCTGCCACTGTAAATGGTCTTGTGAATCTTAATCTGATGTCCAAAGCCGTTCTATAGTCACCTCCAATCTTGAGAGCTTTATTCAAAGGCCGTTTCAGATGCCGTTTCCCCCCCCCAACTTTTTATTGGCCAACTGTCCTGTGTGTAAGGTACCATTCTCTAATCATTTCTCAAATGAGCCAGTTTACCTGGAAGCTGGTGTGAAAGCAACTTTTGAGTCACCCCGAAATTTGTGTTAGAGGGGTATTTTGACAAAAACATTTCATATTCCTATAATTAAGACACATGAGGACTCCATCAACTTGGTCAAGAAAAGCTCTACTCTTTTTAGAGTAGAGCTGGAATCTGTCTAAATGTTATACAGTAATCATTTCCAATTTGAATGTTGCCTTCGTAGTCTGTCTAAATCGATCCAGTCATTTTGTCCGGCACATGTTCCCATTTGGGTCGTGGGTGAGTTGGGGCTCTACCTCACTGCTGACTTTGGGCAAGAGGCAGAGTACACCTTGTACTGGTTGCCAGCTAATTGCAGGGCACATATCGACAAACAGACGTAAATACTCCTGTTCGGTTCAAACATGGGGACAATTTAGAGTCTTCACTGAACATAACATGTATGTTTTTGGAATGTGGGAGTAAACTGCAACACTTAAAGAAAACCAACGCAAGTGCGTGGATGATATTCAAACTCCACACAGATCCTTTATTTGAGCCCCTGAACCTCAGAACTCTCAGGCAGATATGCTAATCATGATCCGCCATGCTGCCTTATTTAGGTTGGCAGGGATCAAATTGTGAAGAAGAAAGTACAGACCATAGTTGGACCGGTGATGTGTTGACAAAAACCTTGCACAGCTGATATCACCCATCAAGGTCAAATTCTGTTTTACCACATTGCTCCATGGGAACGACCACCGACTAAAACATTTTGAATTTAACAGTTTATTCATAGAAGAGCAGTCGACACTGATGCTGTTGTTAAGAATTTCCTGATCAAAATGTTATTCAAAGTTGACAAACTGTCCAGACACTCTTGTTTGTTCTAACTGCAGTAAAATAATGTTAACTTCAGTTTAATTATGCAATTATCCCACTTCTTACTTTTCTGCTCGTGTAAACCCAATCAAAGCCCAGCTCAGACACAGATAGGTTGGCGTTATGGGCCATGACCAATCACCCAGTAAAGAGGAAGGCTTGGCATTGATAGTGAAGCGTTTAGTTGCAGCTCGCGTTTCGGAGGCCGCCGGGAGAGTGACTTTACTGTCTCAATCTGCTCCCGCAGCCCAGTACGACCATCAAGGCTTTCTTACAGCCTCTAACTGTTTTTATGAGGCGTCGTTTTGATGGGGCACCAGATTCTTGTGTGCGTCGCTGTGTCGGCACTACGAGAGCTTCATTGCTTATCTGCGTCAGACATTTCTTGTCAAAGTGCTTATGGCATCAAAAAAAAGTAACCAATTTTACAGACCCAGCCCACCTCATATTTCATGCCAACTGCCCCGCACTTGCCAAGTGACTTTCCGCTTGCTAACACCTTCAGATTAATTGCTCTCCTTCATATGCCATGGCTAATGATGTGGCACATGGCCTTCCAGTCAGTGGACTACTTGCAGAGTCTCCAGCAGATGGGCTTTTAGGAGCGCCGATTGGTTTGGGCATGAGAGAGTTGCAAAAAATAACCTGCATACTACTGGTCTGCCATGCATTTTGAGTGTTTTTTTTCTTTTTTATGTGCTTTCTTCTGATTTTAGGTGAGGGCCTTCCTGCAGCCACCCATGGAGGGAGTGGTTCTGGAGACCTATGGCAGTGGAAACGGCCCGGATAACCGCTCTGACCTGTTGGAGGAGTTGAAGAAGGCCACCGACTCTGGCGTCATCATCATAAACTGCACACAGTGTCTGAGGGGGACGGTGTCTACATCCTACGCCACTGGAAAGGTTGTCTCTTATTACACATGAATTAATTCTGTCTTATTTTGGGCACAAATTAAAATTAAAACACAATTTAGGTATTGATGGATGCCGGGCTCATAACTGGCGGTGACATGACTCCAGAAGCCGCCCTATCAAAACTGTCCTATGTGTTGGCCAAGGAGGACCTAAATCTAGATGCCAAAAAAAAGGTTGGTGTGTATTCTGAAAGGGTGGCGTCAATGAACACGCTGAAATAAAGACCCAAGAACCATGCTAGATATGCCCATGTGTTTGCGTATAGATGATGGGCCAGAACCTGCGAGGTGAAATGACTGCTGACTTGGCAGGAGCCAAGTTTAGTCTAAGTGACAGTCGATTCATCCAGGTTGTCGCCAAGTCTTTGAGCATTAGCTGCAAAGAGGTGAGAAATGCCCGGACATGCAATATCTAGTGTCCATAAACAATATGCTGTATCTTGTACCAATATAATTATATTATAATACATATATAATTCAGATTTAATTTTTCTTCACCCATGTGTCATAACAAAAATTGTGTATGTGACAGTTAAATTGTTGGCATCTTACAGTTTGTAATAACTGTGCAGGCAATGTTTTAATTACTGGATTTTCACGACCATACGGCGCACCGGTTTAAAGGGCGTAGTCAGTTATGGGTGCTATTTTTGTTTTTAACGCATACACAAGACACATTGTGTTATTGGACGCAGGCACGGTCAACCGTATGCGAGCTTAAACAATACGGTTGCATGCATGCACGCTAGTGTATGTTTTGAAAAAGGCAACGGGTGCAAAACTGAGTTCAGTTGTACTTTATTTATAGTATTTACCAATATACTCTCTTTATTTTTGATCAATCCTCATACTCCAAACCATCAATGTCCTCATGTTCTGTATCCGAAATGAACAGCTGGGCAAGTTCACAATCAAACACGCCAGGTTTTATATATAAATCTTGACTCTCTCTCTCTCTCTCTCTCTCTATATGTATATATATAAATCTTGTTCAGGCTATATTTAATTGAATACACTACAAAGACAAGATATGTAATGTTCAAACTGATAAACGTTATTGTTTTTAGCATAGAAACATTAACTTTGCATTTTTAAAAAAATGTTCTATTTTCTATTTCCATGTATCCCATAAAAGCAGTTTGTTCATTTCCAAGTTTATGGTGTCGACAGGAGCTGGAGGCCATCCGTGATGCTCTGACACCTTCGCTGGCTTGTGCAGCCACAAAGATTGGTGACATCGAGGCCTTAGAAACCCTAAAAGAAATGGCAAGTCACTCTATAATGTTTAGCACACATTCGTGTTGTCATGGGCCATTACCCGTTTGGATTGTTCCACAGTTAATTGATTGCCGCACAATAAATTTAAAGCACCGAATGAACCGCCTGATGTCCTTTTCCATCCCGTGGCTCAGGGCAGTAATTTGTGTCTGGGCGACTATGATGGACGGACCCCTCTGCACATTGCTGCCTGCGAAGGAAACCTGAAAGCGGTGCAGTACCTGCTGACGATTGGCGCCACAGTTTATGCAAAAGATCGCTATGGCGACACACCCTTGTGTAACGCTGTACACTTCAGGTAAGCCAAGGACTTGTCGTCTGAATGGTTCCTGTTGTTCATGAAGGAGCTAGTACAAGAAATGAATGGCAGTATGGGAACAGAGAAGCAAGGGGAGGAACAGAGGTTAATACATAATTCAAGAAGCTATTTAGGCTAATTGTTATATGGTCTGTCCGGATTGGTTATTACCGTCCTCATTACTTGACATTGCCCCAAATATTTATCAAGTGTATTGTTTCTACTCATTTTTTTTTTCATTTATATTGGCCTGAGGGAGAAAACGTATGCGTTGGAGTTGTGCCAGATGACTGTTGTCCTATTTTAACGGTTGGCACTGCAAGCAGCAACATGTTTCCTTTGTTGGTTGAGGGAGGCCTTGCAGCATCGCTTCAATTCCTTTGCTGAATTCCGTGCCTTCCTCTGCTGCTACTAATTGTGACAGCACATTTGTCTATACTCAAACTTGGCAGAGTGCTCTAGCTAAATGAAAATGTCAAAGTCATTTAAAGAAACGGGTGTGGAGATGCGGGCGTGCCCTCAGAACCAGTCCTGCAGCCTGATCCCGGTTTCACTGTTCATACGTACTGGCTGTAGGTTCACATAGTCTGAAAGATTAACCATCAATGTGCCAGCATAGACCTATGATCAAATCTTTTTGTGTTGTTGATTTTTTGTACCGTGCAGTTGCACTTCTGGTCACTCCTGTGTGGGCGGTTAGGGTGTATGTGTGCAGCAGGGCTCGTGTTCTTACTTGTCACCGCCAACAGTTTTGTTGTGACGATCGCATTTCCGACTTAAAAAAGCTAGCGAACAGCTTGCCGAGTTGCGCCTCACTGAAAATACTGTCACACTAATGCTGACGTCATCTGACATAGGCACAAGGATGTCGTCAAGCTCCTGAGGAAGACAGGAGCCCACTTCTCCCGAGACGAGTTGGAGGAGGCAGGATCAGAACTTTGCAGGTCTCTCACACACAGACACAGTGTCAGATCCACAACGACCCATCCTACATAGCTAACACAAGCCCAACCAGTTTGCTGACACTTAACCTATACCAGAAGAATGCTCCCTGACTGCATAGCATTGGGACTCCCCCATATCTCGTGCCCCTGTTGTCGGAGATGCTTACATATTAAACGTTCACAAACACACACCTTGTAAGCTCTGAGTATGGTTGATTAAAAACAACAAGAAAAAAAAAAAACGTTGCAGAGCTCGGTGGTGCTGATTTGGCATCCTAATGTACTGGCATCATTTACTGAAAAGCAACAAGACAAGTTTTGGAAACAATTGTCATCATTACTTGTTTTTTTGTTGTCGTTTGTTAGCCTGGTAGTTAGTGGCGACCTGGAGGGGCTGGAAATATGGAGTCTTGCTGGAGCTGATCTGAATAAACCAGGCTACGATGGGCAGACAGCAGTTGAATTGGTGGGTGGTTTGAGGATATTACGATGCACTCTTTGAAATATTTCGAAACCCCAGTCTGCACAATTTTTTTTTTTTTTTTTTTGGTCCAGGCCAACGCTGCCGGCAAACCAGAAGTAGCGACCTTCATACACAACCTCCTAAACAAAAAAGTGATGGTAAACACTGTTTTAAAGACTTATATCACTGCTTAGCAACCCCTACTTGTCTCTCCAATTCTTTGATTCCATGTATGTCTGTCTTGTTTCAGACAGCATTTTCAGGATTGAATGATTATGATGAATATGATGAGGATGAGGAGGTAAAAGCAATAGCAAATTTATGTGATTTTCCCCATGTCAACATTCCTTCATCGTTTCATGATGAGATCCCATCAAGCATGATTTTATTTTTGCGTTTTGCTTACGAAAATCAATCTTTGACTCATCAGCTGGAGGAAAACCATGCAAAGTGTCCACGAATCAAGCGCATTGCTTTTACACTAACGAAAAGGCACGAGATTTTGAAGAATGAGTTGAATTTTTATTTGTAGTTGATTCCCAAAACACTTCCAAAATAGTGACGCAAATGACGTAAAAATTGCAATTTGGGCGCGTGTGCCATTTTCACCAAAAAATCCCAACAAGCAAGACTCCTAACGATAGATTGAAAATGACCAAGTTCCATGGGCTGATAGGTCAACCAGATTCTGCAATCAATCATTCCATAAAGTTTCTGGGCTAATTGTACGTTTGTCACAACTCAAATTCTGGTCATGGCTCAAACTTTGCGTTTCACTTTGCTGCGCTCGTATGTTTTTGTTTGTTTTTCGAAGCACCATGACGTGAATCAAAAACTGAAGCAGTAAAGCAACAGGGGCATTCTTCCACTTTAAAGTGCTATTTCTCAATGTTAGATTCTGACTGATTTTACATGCTATCTGGCACAAGATGCCTGAGGTATCTGAGCTTAAAGGTCAAACCCGGAAGGGCTTTTTCCTTCCCAGCACTTTACTCGAGTGATAATCTTCCTCAGACATTTCCTTTGGCAGTTTCATGTTTTACGTAGCGTGTGGCTTGCGCAGCTGTCTCACAGTCGAACCTTTCTGGATTTTGATCTCGGCTGGCCTTTCTGTCTGTCTGCATGCCCAAGCCCAATCGAGTCCTGTTTCCTCCCACATCCTCAAAATATTCGAGATTCTAAATTTGTGTGAATGTGATTTTGACTGGCGACAAGTTCAGGGTCTACCCTGCCTCTCACCAAAACTCAGTTGGTGTAGGCACCAGCTCACCCATGACCCTGAACGGCATCAGCAAAAGAAAATGAATCTTTGATGCATGCACTGAACAACAGTCTTATAGAATTGATTGATGACAGATATGATGATCCTGAATGATCTTGAATTCAAAGCTTTGCATGGGATGTTGGTCAAAAATCATTTTGGTCCATAATGCCCTACCGGTTTGTGTTGTTAAACACTTTTTCTAGTATTTAATGGACATCAGATTCCAACCATTTTATACCGCCTTGTCAATTAAAGCATGTACAGTATACACAGTAGATAACCATCAACACGCAAATACACACCCACGGGAAATTTAGGGTCTTTCATCTAGCTGACTTGGTTTTGAAATGTGGGAGAAAGCCGTCCTAGTAATTTGAGTTCTTGATTCCATGTCTTGCATGTCGGATCATATGCGACTTTGTCCGTTTGTGTGAGCGCGTGTTGTGACTTTGTGGTATTATTTGTGCTTTGTGTGAACCCTACGAATGCTGCACACTGGACGGCCTCTCGTCTCCACTTCTTGCTTCTTGCTGATCTCATTTTGATTTTTGTTTCTCCTTGCATCAGAACGGCGGCGGGATTGAATTCGCGGCCTCTCCTGCTGAAAGAGAGCCCCAGCCGCTTTGTCCAGTTGCCAAGTGACATCCACTTTCCTCTCACTTGTAGTATATACTCAGGCGCAGCTTGTTTGAAGCCGCAAATGATTCTCGCGTCCTTGTCCAATTGCGTTATAAGCACAACACAGGTTTGAATGCACAGCATAGTTGAATGTTGGCACAAATCACATATAAATATTTGATATTAGTACAAATCTATGTTTGAGGGTACACGTGATATTATTGTGGACTATGAACCAAATGCTGCTGTAAATTAAAAGAGCTGATACGGTATCCTTACTGTGAGTATAACAATAAAATCAAGTTCAGGGCCTTTTATTTTTGTACTTATTTTTATAGTGCGATCATAACAAAGACACTGAAGAAAAGCATCTTTTTGTTGCTCTCCCTTGGTCAAATACTTCCAAGAGTGTCCTGCTGCCAGAACACGTGATAGAAAACTGTGAAGTGACTCTGCCGACTGATCCGTCCTGTTTCTCAGCCGGAAGTTGTCGAGCCGGAAGAGTGGCATAGCTCTCTCGCTGAAACGGAACTGGCAATTTCAGTTACAACCGGGTTTCTGCATGTGATCCTTTTAATGTATTTTATTCATGTTTAGCGTAGTTGCCTTTTCCTTCTGCCGTGCTCACTTGTATCTCTTCTTTCATTGTCGTACTTAAGCAAAGAGCTGACTGAGTGTTGAATGCCATTCAAAGAATTGTTTCTTGTTTTTAAAGGAAAACAAGTCATCATGCTGTTTCACAATTTAATTTCTTGCTGCTGCTGTTTTTTTTTGTGATACTGTTTCTGTTTGAAAAAGCAACAGAAATAAATCTAATTGATCAAAACAACATTCTGTTATTACTGGCCAACAAAACCACCCACAGAACCTCAAAGTTATGAAAAATTGAATTATTCATGTCCAAGCCAATTTTTAGGTTCAAATGAAATTTTATTTGATTTGTTCGAGGAGATTATAAAGGAAAGTCAAAAGTAACGACTGTAAAATTGTCATGTGGAACAAAACATGTTCCACATGATGTCAATCTTTTCCAAGGGGCAATGTGTTTGTCATATGACTAGTCGGGAAACATTCTTCAAATGTTCCCCTTTGGAGTGAAGTCATTCGCATAGATGTCAACATAATATAAGAAAAAAAAAAAGCAATAGAAACAAATACAAAGCAATAAATGAAATGAAATACAGTTAGCGCCATGTCACTACAAAACGGTGTACAAATGGATGTAAACCCACACAGCAACTGTATAACTCGTGAATAGTGCAACAGTGAGTTTTATGTCAGGTTATTATCATTTTTGGTTACAGAATAATTTTAGTACCATAAATCTCCAATAACTTATTTTGCCAGAGTTGCAGCCATTAAAATTAAACTTCAACTCAAAAGCAGTTGCAGGAATGAATCAGTTTGGGTTAACGGCATGTAAATTTGTGTCTTCATTCATATTGTGTCTCAGAAATGTGTGCACAAGACAGAACGTGTTTGGATATCATTTTCCCAAATAAAGTTATACAGAATATTTTATTTTCTTCTTCTTCCTTTTTTTAATTATTATGCCACCATAATCGTTTTACCACTATCAGTTGTTTAGTATCTTTTTGCGGAACATTGTAAATTAATGTGATGCTTTCTGCGAATGGATTAATTGATCATTAAAAAAACACACCAATTAAACCTTTATAAAAAGCAGAACTTTTGTATTTTATAAAATCATCCTGATAATATTTTTAAAGAATGATGTATATCTTTCTTTAAATGTATTTAATGCTTTCCACTGTGATCAATACTTTTTTTCAGTGATTGCGTGGAGGACATCCCACGGTTCTACTGTCTTATAGTGAGACAGTTGGCATCTGTTTGCCTCAAGGTTAACTTACCAAATATGGTTACGAAAAGGAATGACCCAACTAAATAAAGCGGATAAATAGTTTGTTGCCAATTTGATTTATTTTGTAAGGGCGGCTGCCCCTTCGTCGTGCCTACTGCTTAGAACCCAGCTCATCCGGTCGGACCAGCATGGGCCTCATTCCTGCTGGAATGAAACTTGTTTGAACCGAGCCCCAAATCATCATATATAAAGCCGAGTGGCATTTCAGTTGACACGGTGTGAGCGCAGGTGACACCAAGGTAAGAAAGAGCAACGCGGGGAACGAACTCGTCTTTTACAAGGTAATGCCTTATGAAACAAGAAGGCAATCGCTGCTCTTTAAAACTTGTTCTCGGAGTGACGCCTCTTTCAGAAACAGAAATCAAGATTTTGAACGCGAATGTGGTCTCCCTGATTGAGTGGTTCTCGACAGTTCAACAGTTCTTTGAAAAAATTGTGAAATGTTTAGGACCACTTGACCAGTCAGACATTTGCTGCTAAGAAGCATCGGCACTTTCGTTGGAGCCACAGGGCGAGAAAGAACCTCTCAAGTCTCCCATTTGACGATTTTTTTTTTTTTTGTAACTGTTTACATTTTTACTTTTTCTGTTTGTGCCTCCTTATGCTTGAAAGAAAACTAACCATCAAAAAATTGCACAGGCCTCTTAAAAAAAAACAAAGGACCAGGTTCACTTGGATCGCTCCGCTGGCACACGTGCAGTTGTTTACAGCTCGACAGCTTTGCTCGTATTTTCTCTCTTTATTGTTGCTGTGATTAAATGTCCTGATTAAAACAAGTCATTAAAAATAATTGGTCTCTGTTGAGTCCGTGTGGAGGTGAACAGCCAACCTGGGTGGACAATCAGGGGCAATCATTGCTGTGGAAACACAGTATAAGCTACATGAAGCCCATTCTAACTGCAAACCATTTAGGATGTTGGTTGAATCTCAAATAGTTCGAAAGAAGTCACCTAATTTGGTCTGAGAGAGTCACTTCTTGAACTTTGAAGTAAAAAGAAAAGATTATGTTCCTATCGTGAAAGGAGGTCAGATTTGGATCTAAATCTATTCACTTTCGATTTTCATTGATGGCTCTGCAGAAGAAATTTTAGTTTTCGCTCTTTTTGCAAAACGGCTATCATTCGAAACCGTTTTGCTTTCGATACTTTTTGTGGTTGATTAGGAAAGACAGCCCGGTGCGACTGTTTAGAATGCCAAACGCCCCAAAAATCAAGAAAGCTCTTCATGTACTTGAGACCACCAACAGGCCGCTGGCCGAACAGCAGGCGGCCAAGAAGGACTCCACGAGTTTGGTAATACAATACCATTGTCGACTACAGATGAACTGGGAGGGATGAAGTATATTTTAATTCCAAAAAAATCATGTATTGAATTCTTCTTCTTTTTATTTTATTTTTTTTTCTTGCATTTTCTCGTCTTTGTTCAAGATTTGTTACAACCGCGATTGTTTTTTTAAGTGCTCGAGAAATAAAGTTGAGTTGAATTTACGTTATTCGTAAGTATTGAGTGTAGAGTTATTGTTATTATTTTTATGATGACAGCGGTTTGACCCTAGAACAGATGTAATACAGATGAACTGGGAGGGATGAAGTATATTTTAATTAAAAAAAAAATCACATTTTGAATTCTTATTCTTTTTATTTTATTTTTTTCTTGCATTTTTTCGTCTTTGTTCAAGATTTGTTACAACTGCGATTTTTTTTAAGTGCTCGAGAAATAAAGTTGAGTTGAATTTACGTTATTCGAAGTATTGAGTGTAGAGTTATCGTTATTATTTTTATGATGAGAGCGGTTTGACCCTAGAACAGATGTAACCACTTTATATTATTTTCTATGGGAGTAGTAGTCACATGGTTCGAGGTTCAATCTAGTCTCTGCACTTCCTGTGTGAAATTGGCATGTTCTTTCCGTGCTTGCACTGCATTTCTCCGGGGAGGCTCCTCCAAAAATCATGCCTGTCAAACCCGTGCCAAACTTTTAAAGCAGCACCCTCTTCTGGCCACCTCCGAATCTACAAGTAGCTTCATCACCTTTGCGTCATCGAAAATGTGTATAGAATTCAGAATCACTTTCTGAGCGATCAAGATGTATTCAACTGAATTGGAGTCTAATAAACTTTATGAAGGGCTGTCTTCTCATCTTGAGCAAGATTTGGTTAAAATGATGACACGGTTTTTATTGATTTGTATTGTGCGAGAAAATGTGGAAAATGTGTATAGAATTCAGAATCACTTTCTGAGCAATCAAGATGTATTCAACTGAATTGGAGTCTAATAAACTTTATGAAGGGCTATCTTCTCATCTTGAGCAATATTTGGTTAAAATGATGACACGGTTTTTTATTGATTTGTATTGTGGGAGAAAATGTGAGTTTGTCTGAAGGCCCAATAACACTCTCTCTATTAAAACCCACTGGCAGTAGCACGTGGCTCTTTTTATCTAGAACTGTGTGATGGGAAACCCAAATCAGACACATTTGTAACGAAATCCAAATGCCCCTTTTAAAAAAAATACAACATAAATCATTCATGAATGCACAGTGCACCCATGATCCCCCTTGTCTCCTCTCCCTTTGATGCGCTCCACGCGGCAGAACTATCAATATTTGCTAAACGGTTCTCACAAAGCCTTGTCCATGCATGCGCCGCGGTGCCAAAGCCGCGGGTCTCACAAGCATGTCTAAGACATAAGAGAGGCCTTAATGAGATGCCCTGAGCCATTTCCCTGTACGTGCACAATTGCAGCAGATGTAGCAGCTCAAATCCCGAGGGGTTCCCTCCATGGAATTTCATCAGCGAAGACCCGACCCAGACCTCCTCCACTAAGGGGTGTGGATCTGAGTGACGTACGTGGTAAATCATCTTTACTATGGATTGTAATTATCCGCCTAGTGACAAGCCCTGCCTCCACTCCCTCACAAATAAGTGTGTCCTCTTGGCTGTCACACAGCGACATGCTGTTTGTTGCTGCAATAATTGATTCAACCCTAAAATATCAATTATTCAACCCCACTGTCGACATTGCAAATCTTCATGTAATCGTCTTTTTTATGATGACAATGAAGTTCAAACTTTGATGATCAATTTACCAACAAAGTTCATAATTATGCTCTCACACACACACACACACACACACACACACACACACACACACACACACACACACACACACACACACATACACAGGGGATTGAGGGCTTGTGGTTTCATATTTGAGATCAAACGCCGTAAAAAGCGCATCAATTGTGAACCCCTGAAAGTGGTGCGTAGCTGTAGTGTTATTGAACTACATTAAAGGGAGTTGAGGAGAATAATTTAGACAAGAGTAGTACTTTGACACTATCTTGTGGCATCTGTAAGTAATGTTTAGGGTGCTGTCGATTACTCACTGAAGGCAACGCTATCAAATTCATGGCATGCTACTGAACATGCAGAATGAGTAATTCAATCGGAAATGATTTGGCTTTTGGAGCAGGGGCGTGGTGATGTTCGAGATCTGCAATTCTAAAGCAAGAATTCTGTCGAGGACCAGAACAAAACTGAAAGTGGAAAGAAAATGCGACTGGTTGATGGACATATTCCATTGTACTTCTCATTTGCTGTCCGAGATGCCCTGGCAGGTACTGAACCCGCAATTTCTTGGAGTGTAAATTTGTCCTGTTCACATTTGTTATCTAGGCTAAGGGAACATTGTAGCATGAACAAACTAGCGAATTAAATTTCCCCTGAGGGAGACAATTAAGGGATCTTCCACTGTAATCTATCTATCTATCTATCTATCTATCTATCTATCTATCTATCTATCTATCTATCTATCTATCTATCTATCTATATATATATATAGATATATATATTAGATAAAAAAAATCTCAGCTGCAAGCAGGTGGAATCCTTTAGAGGAACGGTTCAGTTGAAATGCTTTTATCTGTTTGAGGCACACCCCAAAAATATGACTGAGTGCAGCTGTGGCCCCATCTCAGCATCTTGACATAATTAACTCCTCTCTTACTCACATTTGAAGACAAGGACAACGCTATACTGTATATATTGTTTTTTCCCAGATTCCACCCAGACTGAGATTTTCAGATTGATGAAAGTCAGCCTATAGTGCAAATGGACATGGACTAATGATTTCACTGGACCAAAGCTAACGCTTGCCAACAGTCTCAACCGTTCAATCTGTGTGATAATAAGACTCAAGCCTGCTGGAAATGCTGAAGTGAAGGCTATTCATTGACTATTGATCCACACTCATGAAGTCTTATTGGCTTCTCAGTGGCAGTTTTAAAGATGAACAGAGGTCACACTAAAGTTTTATTGCTGAGAGCGGACACGCTGAAGCAGCAATGCTGATTAGGTTGAATACATGCTGCAGAACTGTATATCAAAATCAATCCGAATCCAAACACTTCTAGTTTATCACTGCAGTTTATATTCATTATGTAATCAGTGATGCTACCTTCAGTACACTATTCAGCAGGATATGCATACAGTGCAACCTGTAGGAAAATTAAAGGAGAAATGGCATCATTAAATAAGTACGGATGAGGTCATTTGGTTGCGCGCAGACTGATTGTGGGTGTCCGTGTGAATGTTATGGGACACACAGGCATGTGTCATTAGTGATTATTGCTTGGAATGTCATGGTTATACATATTTGCATTGGGAGTTCTGCGTGTGTCGCGAATAGGGGAGGAGGAAAGGGAGCAGGGAGAGAGAGAGAGAGAGAGAGAAAGAGAGAGAGGGATACAGTTAAAAGGGGCGGGTGATGGGGAGGCAAGAGAGCAGAGGAGAGCAGAGGGTCCTCCTCAGAAGATGTCCTAGAAGTATCCCAGTGAATGGGGAGCCTTTCATCTGGATTGTATGGATTCATTTCATGGAATTCTAAGAGATTATTATGCGACAGTTTTGTGGATTCTCGGATTAAAAATAGCATGTGGAGTTTTTTTCTTCTTTTCGGCGGGACCCAAACACCTTTTGGTTTAGATGGTGCTAGGGATGCGATAGGACGAGTGGGATATAACTGTAGGTGACATTTCCAGCCCGGCATGGCTTTACCGAACTCACCGGGCTCTTCCGGAGGGGGCAAACCCGAGCCCAGTGTCATCGATTTGGGCACCATCTTCGTTGACTCTGACATTATCTTTGGATTTACCAGTCACTTGCTGAAAAGAAAAAAGAAGGTAAAAGCACCCCGACTCAGAGCTATACTAAATAGGAGTCATTGTGTTGCAAATAAATAAAAAATAAAATAAAATTGCATTCATCAAGTGGTGCTCCATACTTGAAAATCTCGAACCCGTAGCACTGATCACCTTATTCGAACTATCCGAATCGTTGAGAAATTTGCATCAATATACATATAAAATATCTGGATTTTTAACTTAAGCATGTGATAATCTACATTAGAAAAATTATGGACAAATGAGAAAGTGTGAGCCACTTGATGCGTTTAATTTAGATGATTGGATATTATTCCACTGTACATGGAAAACTCGTTTTATCAATCAGTCTAAATTCAAATTTGAACAAAACATTGCAGCGTATCATAAAACAAAAAAGTAAAAAATAAATTAAAATAAAACACACACACACACACACACACACACACACACACACACACACACGAATCACATGTTGCCACTGTTCTATTTCAAATGCAACAATCACCTTACGAGGGCCATTCGAGGGCACCGCGGTGTTCTTCGGTGTTTCATGAGGCCGCTGCCACTTACGTCATCCCCAACATGAAATATTGAAAGTTTACTAATGAAATATTTAACCTCAACTCAGTCCTCCGCACTTCATCGCCACTGCTCTTCGAGTGGAGGTGTTGCCACCATTTGCCAGATGGTGACGCCAGAGTAACGCCGAATATGCTCAAGGGTGTTGCGTTTAGGAGCTCGGCTTCTTGCAGGCGACATTGAAATGATCATTTTGGGCGTCAATTTTTGATCACTTTTGTTTAAAAAAAACGTGAAATCAAATTTACGTCAAATTTAATGCAGTTAATGGATTAATCTGATATCATTCCGTTATTTGTATTTTGGAGATATTGATATTTTTGTGGATATTCGTTTTAGGATTTCCCCACCTCAGAAAAAAAGTAGAGCAAGTTTTATTTTATTTAGGGGGTGTTCAAAACATTCCCAAAACCACTCATTTCACTCTGTTGAAAAAGAAACGAGCCGACATGTTTAAACGATATTTCGTGCCCTGAGTTTACGCTAATAGTTGTACTTTTAGCCCTCCCATTCCGACACCATAATACCGCCTCTCGCGCACCACTGAGCACGTTCCTGGTCGTGCACTGATTCGCAAAACTCCTCTGGACACTTTGAGGTGGACTCCAACAGATGACAGGTTAAGTCATCTCCGCAGCCGATATGACTCGTCCACGTCTCGATCACAACCTTTGAGCCGGCTTGTTTCAAAGCTGCGTTGCCTAATAGTGTATAATGAATGCATCTGGGGACGGCCAGCTTGCTTTTGACGAAGGGGGGCATCCAAGAGTAAGTGTTAAAATACGCGGCTTGGTGGAATTACTTCTGAAACACACACGCTTCCTTTTGAAATGTTGTCAAAATACACACCTGTTCATTACCTGATGCTCAAGGTGCGGCATTGAGCGTGACAGGTGAAACTAACAAAAATTCATCCTTTTTTTTTTCTCGCTGAAGTTGGAGGGATGTCCGACTGGAGAGTCTCCAGTCACCCCCAGGAAGAGGCTCCTCTCTGCGGAGGACGAACGCTGCAGCAACCGGCCTGCCCCGGAGGGCGCCGGCTCTGTTTCTCTGCCCGAGACAGAGGAGAAGGGAGGCTTTTGTCACAGTTGTCAGAAGAAAGTGTCTGAGTTGAGGAAGCTGGCGTTGGGCCTGGCTGACCAAACCTCATTCAAGGTAGGTCTTGTTTCTCTCCGATTTAAACTTTCTGCTTTTGGAGTATACAATACGTACAGTAGGTACAGTGCAGAGCTAATTGATGGACACTAAGGAAGTAGTATTTTTATTTTTTCCAAACCTCAAAATGTACACAAACTACACTACTCACAAAAAGTCAGGACTTGGTTTTGCACTTAAAATCCCTTAAAACATTTACAGGTGGACTTAAATTGACCTTCTCTAAACTTTTGAATGCACACGTCCAACTCTTCAAGGTGTCAGTACTTTTTGAGACCAAGACGAGACTTAAAAATTAATCAACAATAAATCACAATTAAGAGGCTTTAAGCAGGATTTTCTCAAAGGGAAGTGAGCTTAACAGTTACAGCAGGTTGCAGCAAATATATAGATTGACTGGAAAAGTCAGGTATACAGTAGACATGGACATTTTTGAAAAATAATTGGTCGATTACACCTGGGGATATATTTTTACAGACAGGTGCAAATGCGCTTGACCGAAAAACTCACACATCTGGGATGCTGCATAGCTATTAGGAGGAGGGTTGGGGATTCACACAAATGGGCAAAAACGACCAGGTGGAAGGTGGTTTCCACGTGCCCACTTCACAGTGGCCAGCTGTGATTGCCCTGGTCAACTTTACATCATTCGCAAATGGAGGTTGGTTCCTTATCGACTTATTTTGCTCACTTCGATCTTCTCCGTGGACTTCAGTGAGTCTATCTCTGCTACCGCAAAGGCTGTATACATGCCTCTCCTGCGCTGAAATTAGAGAGAATGAGCTGAGTTGCTTTCATTGGTCAAGAAATAAATTGGTGTGTTCACTCCTACAATGGCGCAAACTCCCCTTTCTACCTGTCAGTGAAAATACTGAAAGAAAGAAAACTACACCCATGCACACAGTTACACTGCATTTTGCACTTTTTAGAGGACAACATTTTCATGCAAAAGCTTGGATCTTGTTTTGGAGCTTTTTTTTTTCAAATTAGGCGGTCAAATGAAAAGCACATATGAAGTAATAAGAAACTGTGCTACATTGACTTTTTGTCTTTTTTTTAAAAACACTCCACAATTGTAAATTTCCCCATTGCGGGACAAATAAAGGCTTATCTTATCTTATCAAATGGCTCTTATTAGACACTGTAGCACCTGAAATGTGAGTATCATTGTACATTGTATATGTACATTTTGTAGTCGCCATCCATGTAAGGACATATATCTCAACACTGTCAGGTGGAGACCTCCTGTGTTCAAATTAGGAGAACGTCATACTTTTTTCATAAATCAACCTGTCTGGTCAGTCAATACGTGGGTCTGTTATTTTTAAAAAGGCCTGACCAATCTAAATCATTGAAAAGTGTACTTAGTTCACTCATGGCTGTCATAGCCACCACCTACACTTGCTTTTAACCCTCATATTTAAAGACGATTGCTTCAAATCCACCTGACGTTTTGTAGCTGCACGGGGAGAAGTTGTTTATTACGGCGCTTAACTTCAAAACTGGCCTCGGGTGCCAGAGAGGTTTGTCGATTTTGAAAGTGGGCCATTGTTTGGTTAAACAATGCTTATCTCTTCGTTTTGCTGCTTGGTCTAAGGAAGGGGGTTGAAGGGGACTGAACTAAACCAGCCACTTACTTTGTAGACTGAGGAGGAAGTCGTGTCCCAGTCGACCTTCAATGTGCATTGAAAGTGTTCCTGTATGGCTGCGCGCACAGTTCCCACCACTGTTAAATATAGGCTCAGAGTCCACTGTTGTTGTGACGGGCTGCTATTGCCCCCAGGCACGGTACGCCTTTTGTTGTCCCATTTTAGTGAGGCAGCCTCAAAAGTCAGATTGGGTTACAGCTCTTCAAAGTTCTCCCTGCAAATCCCATAGCAGCTGATGCTCATAGAGGTTGTGGTGGGGGTGGGGGGCAGGTATACAAGGGACAAGGGGCACCTGGACTCTGAGTTCCACATATCTTCATGTGTGGTCTCTGCTCGGTGCATATCAGATCCATATTTGGGTATCAGGTAGGACAACACATTAAGCTTCCCCTTGAGTGCTATTCCCCCACGGGAACTGCATGACCACCCCTTTTAGTGCAGGACCATTCAACCGCACTTTGCGGCCTTCACCAGGTGCTGCGTCTGCTGTAAGTTCGGCATTTTGCACTTGTTGAGAGCTAAATTGGACCTTAATTCCGGTGGTGGCAAACGTTGATGGCAGAGTGTTTTAAGTTGAGTACGGTCATTGGATCCCTAATGCATAATGAAACCATTGTCTTGGTGAGTTTGAGCTGCTCACCTGTTGACCCTCACTGCGAGGACACAGTTCTGGATGATTGCTCCAAATTGCTGCCTCCATGGCGGGAATAAGGTCAGAATTTGGACAGAGTTTGGCCAGTGTTGTGTCTGCAGTTGTCACGAATAAAAGAGAGTGGAGACTGTTTACCCAAAGTCGTGCCTCCCCCTCCCTTTTCATTCGCTGGCTGATCTGTTATTGTGAAGAGGAAGTCCCCAGAAATCCCCCCTCTTTCCCCCACCCGAGTTGTAACCTTATTGTTTGAATACAGAAGTAGTGCAGTGTTGGTGAACAGTCAGGGAAGATTGTCCAACATGAAGGTGCTTTAATACATAGGATCGAGTATGATGAAGGATATTACAGAAGAATTCGAACTTTGTCTTTCTTCATGGATATTGGGATTACAGTGTGACAACTAATGATGGTATCCAATTAGCGTGCACTTAGAATAAATGTTCCATCCATCCATCCATCCATTTGTGCACTTAGAATAAATGTTCCATCCATCCATCCATTTGTAGGGTTGCGGGGGCAGCAGCTTTAGCAGGGAAGCCCAGACTTCCCTCTCCCCAGCCACTTCTTCCAGCTCTTCCCGGGGAATCTCGAGGTGTTCCCAGGCCAGCTCAGAGACATAGTCTTGATGTACAGCTTCAGCTTTTCAACAATCCGGGTTTTCTTTGTCGTATTCTACGCTTCATAATGCGGCACACATTTTCAATGGAAGACTGGTCTGGACTGAAGGCAGGCCAGTCCAGTCCCCGCACTCTTTTCAAATCTGCCTGCTGACTCGTCAAGTGCTCACAAACGTCTCTGAAGAAGGCGAATGCTGATCACCGACAGATTCGAAGAAAGAAGTTGTGTTGTTGGGAGGCAAAATAACAAGGCCAGAGTGTACTATTTTCTTATCGAGGTATCAACAGCACAACACTAGTTCCTGCAACTCAGTTTAGTCGCCATTACAAAACTCCCCTTCTTCCTTTTTCATCTCAACAGTATTTTTTATCACAAAACTGCCACCTACTGTACAGTCAGAGAACATAACAGAAGTGATACACATGTTTGAGACAAATAACATGCATTTCCATCGAACACTTATAATTTATTTTCCCGAGCCACGCAGAGCCGCAGCATAAGGATGAAAGAGCCGCACGCAGCTCGTGAGCTGCGGGTTGCCGACATCTGATCTAACATTTTGCAAGATAACATACTAGTTGAATAGCATATTGTCAATTTGTTTGGCCTCAGGGCCATTTGAGTACGAAGGCTCCACTGTGTTGGAAATCACATTGTTCTGATGTAGATGCACTAAATGCAATAACAATTTCCTTTGACCCAGACGGAAAATCCACACTAACAGTATCTTCTTTGTTGTGAGCCTGTGTCCCCAATTATTTATTTGCTTCCACTTGATGGGTACCTGCAGGGAGTGACCTATTTAATACAACCGCTGGAGCCTTTGATTCATTTAATATTTATGCAAATTCGAGGGTTCGTGAAATTGTTTTTATATCTTTGTTTTAAGACTAAACCAAATAGCAGAAGATTGAAAACATGCAGAAATGGTTGCGAGCCCCCTCCCGAATTGATCAAACGGAAACTCATCCGCTTTTATTTGCATAATTAAAACCTACGGGCATTCTTTCAATAAAGAGAAGCAGATTCAAGCTTATTGCGGCAGGACACGGTGGCTCGGAATTTACGGAAAGAAAGAGGGCCATATACTGTTAAACTCCAACTTCAAAGTAGCAAATTAGCGCCTTGCAATAATCACAGACTCTACAAACAGGACCTTGTGGTTGGTTGGCCAAAATCCTCACATGCCAACTCCTGCTTTGATTCTTGTTTTTTTGTGTCTGTGTCCTCAGCCGGCTTATGAAATAAAGTCAGGATAGTGTCAGTGACCACAAAAGGTGATTAGGGTTTGTGTGCAGCTCGTTGCCCGAAAAGGAATGCGATCATCTTGGACTAATTTGATGCCAGTGGGACAAGCTTGAACAGCTGAAACTCCTCGGTCACAGTGCTGATGGAGGCTCTCAATTCCCCTTTTTGAAGAAGGTGAGTTGTGAGAAAGAAGTAGTTCAAGACAGCAAAGGGAACGCTGCGGGTAGCCTTTGTGCAAATGTAATTAAAACCCCACTTGCTTCACACCAATAAGTATACAGTTAAGCCCTCACCTATTTACTTTTCATGAATTCACCTAGCGGTTATCATGTTTTTTTCTTTTTTTCGGAACCTTCCTTTTAGCTATTTCCAGATGAAACAAACCTTTTTTTTCTTTTTTTTTAATGCCACAAGGAGGCACCAAAGCCCTGGCTAGTATGAAATTACAATTTGGTGGCAAATGTTGAAGTGATACATTCCAATTGATAGACTAACATCTTTATATACTGGGGAGGAGTTAGGTTTAGTCTGGGTTGTTAGTGGAAAACACAAATGGTTGCAACATGGGCATGTACAAGTGCACTTCGAGTGCATTTTTCAAAAATCAAATAACCTTTAAGCCATTTCTTTTTCAACCTAATGTAAGATGAAATTAATTTTTTTTTAATAAAAAAAAAGTACCCTAGAAAGAACAGCAACTCACATTAGAGGAGCGTTCTTTTTCAACCTAATGTAAGATGAAATTAATTTTTTTTAATAAAAAAAAGTACCCTGGAAAGAACAGCAACTCACATTAGAGGAGCGTTCGCTATATCGTCTCAATTAGCTCTAAC